AACATGAACAGTGTAAAGACAACAGCTGTCACTTTAAGAGGTGAACACCGTATTTACAGTATTTTTCACCCATCTTCTCTAGACACTAAATCTTATAAGCATTAATTACTTTCTAAGAAGTATTTTTTATAACAATTAACAAGAAATTAGCAGTAAGCTATTTCCCACGGAACCATCAAAAATTCTAAAACATAACCCAATTATGAGCATAACATGGAAGGATCCAATGGAACACCTCTGATCAACAGATAAGACAGAGGACTGACTGCTCATCAGTCTTCATATTCTGGTAATGGCCTCCTCAGCTATAATTAGACAGAGTAATGACTGAAACCGTCTCTGGGAGTTAATTATTTAAATGTTTGTTCTTCATCCCTGAACTCTCGTAGGAGAGTCTAGTCAGAAAGCCCTCCTCAGCGTTCATCTGAGTTTGGAGTTTCTTAATTTTCAGATGCTGATAGACCTTATGGATTTATTTATTTGTTTGTATGTTGCTAACCTGGTTTTGCAGTCAATATCACCATAGGATCAAAGTTAGAGTCAAACTAAATGAATACTTTACAAGTGACATAGAAAATGATCAACAATATTTAATCTGAAATGTTAATAGATCATCTGCTAATGTGTTTACAGTCATCCTCTATAGTCCAATTCGGTTTTAATTTTGTAATGTTTGCTTGTTATATATTTATTTTGCTGTTGTTTTCCTAAAAGAACATTGTATTTAAACATTTTGTTTGTCCATTGACTTACTGACTACATTTTGTTTGCTTTATGACATGCCACAGGTTCAAAATTTGTTTCACTGCTCAAATTTCTAAGTTTTTTCAGAGATGGCAGTGTAACATGAACCCCAGCAGGCTTGTGTTGGTGTTTTCCTAAGGAGTCACAAATACACCAGTAGTTCAGCTCAAACCTTAGGCTATTATCTAAATTTGCATGCAATTTGCTTTATGATATTCAAATCCTATGAGTAAGGAGACGAGGACGCATACTGGTGATACAGAGCTACCTGCTATCTTGCTTTCTTAATTGCAGCAGGCATTCTCAAAAATAAATAATTGCCCACCATGCAAACGGTAAAGCTGCATGAGATCTGCAATTATAGAGTTCTGCAAATTTCTGCAAAATTTGTATGCAACTCATTCACAAAGTTACATACGTCGCTCAGCCACTGTGTATTTATTAAGTATTCTAGCTAATTTGATAGTGCTTTATGCTGCAAATAAGAGTGTAGTATTTATTGTACCACATTTAAATCAATTCTGTAGAATTTTACAGTTACATTTTCTTTATTTGGGCTAATTTGATGCTTTTAGAAACAAATACTAGCGCAGAGGTACTTAATGCTAGATCCCACTTTGAGATCTTGAGAAATTTTAAAATGAAATTATGAAAATAATATAACAATCATATAATGCAGTATAATCATTTTGGATATAGGCCTATTTATCAGCAGGGGTGGTTCTAGGATGAGCAGATATCTGGGGCTTAGCCCAGAGACATCCATGTATGTGTCAGAATACACAGGATACACTTCAAATAAAATGTTTAAAAGGTACATTGGCTAAGTGGCTTAATTTTTCCTTAAAGTGACAAGTATATTTAAACATAAGGTTCTATAGCATACACATGTTTTTTAAGGAGCTCTTGCATGCATTAACACTGCACTTACAAATTGCAAATATTACAAACTAAATTACAAATATTATGAGATTGATGTATTAAATATACAATTTAGAACACAGAAATATGAAATGATAGAAAAAATAGAACGATACTTTTAAAAATGAGACTAAAATTGCCAGTAGGTGCCTGCAAGCCACAGTCGTTGAGTCATTTATTCAATCAATTTGTTCAAAACGGCCGATTCATTCAGGAAGTAAGAAACTGTTTTTATGAATGGGTCAGTGAATCACTGATTCAAAAACACGTTCAAAAACGCAAATTCATTCAGTAACGAGAAACAGCTGTGTGCAGAGAAGCACAACATGGCTTTGTTTAGAAACATTTTCGCGAAATGGAGCAAAAAGACAATTTTCTCTGATTTAAATCACTTAATATTAATTTTTTGTTTATTGAATTGTTGCCCTGAAACTTAGCATTTATCATGGTTTGTGGCAGACTTTTCTAACCAATCTGTTCATATAATCGCTTTAAATGTGTGTGTGTGTGTGTGCGCGTCCTAGAAAGTCTGCATATAATACCATGATTAAAAGTTTATATTTGTTGCTATACAGTAACAATAATCTAATTTTGACAGATGGTGAGATTGGTATTATGAAGTTATACTGTAAGTTACAGATAGAAGCAGCAGCATTTTGCTGTTTAAGTGCTGGTTTAATAGAAATTATTTTAAAGCACATGAAAACTCTTGATGACATGTCTCCCAAGAGTATATTTTTAATACATTTAATACTACGTCTTTTTCACCTGGGTGGTAATGAAAACATTCGGGGCTTCAGCCCCCTTAGCCCACCCCTAGTGCTTCACCTGTTTATCAGTTTCATTGCTTTAAAATAAGGCTTATGTTATACTCTTAAAAATAAAGATTCTTTAGATAATAAAAAAATTAAGATTCAGGCATTAATGGTTCAGTGATGAGCTGTTAAACCATATGAAACCTCTCCATTGCACAAAATGTTCTTGATAGTAGAAAAATGTTTTACCCAAAGAAAAAAAATGTTATTTTAAGAAATGTTCACTGAAAGACTCATTTTGGGGATCCCAAAATGGTTCTTCAGTGGGTGGCATTACTGTGAAATCCCCTTTTTTTAACCTTTATTTTTTATAGTATAAGAATGAATGAACCATAAACAAAGATGTGGTGTGCACAGATAAAGAGAAAATATATCCTTCTTTGTGGCACAAGAAGCAAAAGCAGCCACTTAAGCAATGATTCACTGACATGGAACCTGCAGTTCAGTAAGTGAGTCATGTTAATTCAGTAGCAGTAAGGATTCATTGACATGGAACTTCAGTTTACAAAGTGAGTCCTACTGTATGTTGGTTCAGTAGTCACTCTTGACCGATTCGGTGAGTTAATTCATTGGATTCGTCAGACTGAATCAAACCGATAACGCCTGGTTCTCCTGAGTTGTAGTGCTCTTAGCTCTGAGCTGATTTTACCATATTTCTATCATGACAACTCTCGGGAAATTTAAGCATGGCAATGGATATGACAATGTTATTGTATTTGGTCTTGGCGGAATAGATCTGCTATGCTGCTGAATTGTTGCTGCTGTTGGTTATTGCTGTTTTGTAGATTATTTCTGCTGCTGCAAAGCAAGTACAGGAACTTGTTACTGCCAGTACATATGCCGATATGGTGCTGTGAGTACTTAAGACATACTGCTGCTGCACAAATAGCATATAATAACCCGTAGCAGATCTATACAGGTGCAGCTGGGGAAGGTGGAGAGTTTCAGAGGAACTCTGAAATCGCGCTGCATGCTCTAGTGAAAGTTAACCAGCCATATAAATGTAAAGCAGCAAGCTCATTGGCTGCGTATGCATTATGCAATATGAACCAATCAGCTTGTGCCAAGTAGTCTAACACTGTGAATATCATCAGTTTGCGGTAAGGACCCATCAGCCTGTGCCATCTAGAGTTTCATGACAGAACTTGGAATTTAAATCAATTCTGTGAATTTTGAAAATTTTGGAATGAAAAAAACATTAAAAATCCCCAACACCGTTTACATCAGAACTCTAAGAGCCTTGTTAATCTGTAAATGAGAAAATTTTGTGATAAACCAAGGTCACAAAAGGCATTTTAAACTGATCAATTTGTATTTTTTCTATAACCACCACTTCAAAGAAAAATAGCATTTTGTTTTCTCATTGCAGTGGCTGGTTTGGAGGATGAAATGGATACAGTGCATCTAAACCTGACAAGAGGAAATGGTGGAGAGGAGGAAGAAAAAGATGAGGGGGTGTGTCAGGCTTTAGAGCCACTAAATCCCATTGTTAATTTTAGTTTTCTATGGTGCTTATGTTCTTATGAAAACAATACAATTTCCTCTGGTGGCATTAACCTCCCTCGTCCTAATAGCCGCCTCTGTCCTTGGTACTGAAAATGTCAAAATCCGATTTAGTTTGTAAGGTTTGCAAATGAAAGCTTGCTTTTTCATGGATGTAAACTGACATACCTTGACATTTGCAAATTAGGGCGTGAGATTCACTTGGGAATGTGTGCGGGCATCTCTTAAAAGGCTTGGTTTTACAAATTAGATTGACATTGGCCAGGTCACACCCTTTTGTTTTTCACTAGCAGTGTTATTTCTTGAGAAATTGTGATATAAAATGCTTTTATGGAGCATTTAACACTTATAATAACACACAAGCATTTTTGCTCACCTGTATTGGTCTGGTATCTTATACCCTCTGAAGGGTATTATGACACAGAAGATGCTGGTGTTAAGCAGCAGATGGTTACGCTCTTTGTGACTGTGTTTTACAGTAGCAGATGCTGCTGGTATGAATGAAATTATTTACAGAAGAATAGAGGAGTGTGTTTCACTCTTTAATCTCTGAGAGATGGCACTGTGTTCCCGGTTCTATTGTTGTCCTGTGTGCCCTTGAGCTCATCTCACTGTGAAGCACTCCTGGCCATCAATACTGGCCCATCAGACTGGCACAGAGAGGGACTGATTGGTTTGGCAGTGTGAGAGAGCAGGAACCACAGTGCCAATGTGGGGCGGCTATCAGTTGCCACAGTGAACAGTTGGGGCTCAGGACATCTGCCAAGCTGGTTATCACAGACCTTAACACAGACCTATGCCGCACTCGTTGATTGTAATAGTGTTTGAGGTGGACAGGTTGTCATTAAATCCACTTAAATACTTAAATCCTCTCTGCATCAGCTATGTGTTTGGAATGTAACAGGTATCTGTTGTTGTATGCTGCCCTCTGGTGGTGACAAACATATGAAGAGCTTTTCCTGTACTGATGTGGAGTGACCATTATTGGAAAAATTCATATTTCTCCCCTTTTCGCAGGTGTGTGTTTGCCGTGCTTTGTGGATGTGGTTCCAGTTAAGAATGAGGATGGTTTAGTCATCATGTTCATCCTGAACTTTGAGCTGGCAGATCAACAGGACAGCTCCCTCAACAGCTCACCGGACAGAGACATCAACCCAAAACACACCATCCCATGGCTCTCTAAAGGTACTCAGATGGAACAGACCTGATTCATTATGTTACATTATTTTGAATGTTACATTATTTTGTCTGTCTGTCTGTCTGTCTGCCTGTCTGTCGGTCAGCTTAAAATGCTATGTGTTTATCAATTCAGAATGACTGGCTCTTAAGTAATTTAAGTTAAAGGTGCAATAGGTGATTGTCTTCAGAATCATTTTTTGTTATGCTGGTTCAAAGTCTCTTCACATCCCGATAGCAATCATTAAGTTAAGTGGTCTAAATGTATTTATATATTCTGTGGAAGGCATAGGACCAAGAAATGTTCGTCCAATTAAAACGCTTGGTCCGAGCGTTTTAATTGGCTTTCCTACCTGCCTGTCAACGTATTTATCTGCATATCTCTGCGCACCCAGTTCGCGCAGACAGGATACGTCATCAGTGTGTTCACGCACGCTGTGCAGACAGAGCGAGAATGGCAGACAAACATCAACAACCCGATCTTCCTTCCTGGTATTGTAGTACTTTTAAAGTTTTCTCACCGGTGAATGACACATGATGTAGCCCAGCGGTTCCGTCCTCGTGATTCAGATAACCAGCTCATTAGAAGTGAGCTACGTGCATGAACTGTGTTCCGATCGATATGATCCCTACACAGTGTTCATTGCTCCTTACTCCCTGAGCAGGGGAAATCCGTTGAAGTTTACTTCACTTCGGAACATGGGCTGGAATTGGGAACCGCTGATGTAGCCTATTGTAATGTTGTCTCTGGTATTCTGGTCTGTGAGTGTATGCGTTCAGGGGCGTGGCTTTGGACGGCGATTGCAGGGAGGGTGGGACGTTCGCTTTCAGTGCTATCAGGCTAAAGTTAGCATTTTCCAAGATCTCCTACTGCACCTTTAAGTAATTTATTTAAACAATGGGTTGGTTACTTGTCCTGTGATGAACACCATTTTCCCGTTAAACACAATTTTATACACATTGTTGAATGCTTTTCTTTAGAGATCCACCAAATAGTGGTATTTATTGATAGACTCATTTTTGAAGAAACAATTGGTGTGAATAAGGTGTAAAAATAGCATAAATATTGCCACAATCCATTTTTATGCTTTTAGAGTCAATCATTCACTAGCAAAGCATCTATAACTTCATAATATAATAGAATATTTATATGCTGCTTCTAAAACATTTTATGTTGCCAGAATACCCACCTATTTTTAAATGAGCTTCAATGAAGGTGCTTTCAGGCTACATTATAGTTATGGCATTTATGGGACTCCAATTCATGAGCTACCATCACTGTGTTTGAGTAACATAATGTAATAATGATCTGACAAAATACTTAAATTCCTTACTCTTGGATATTTCCTCAGCAAGAAGACACCGTCTGAGGTTGCCTCTGCCTTTGCTGCGTTCCCTGAGTGGCAGTAAACAGTCTCTGCATGAAGATGCTGAAAAAGGCTACGTGCAGCCGATGCCCCATATGGGCCATGAGTCAGTAGCCCTGGACAAACTGCTCTCCCTGCCTGAGCGTTCTGCATTCGGAGGATCTCAGCTGTTTATGTGGGAAGATAAGGCTCAAAATGAGCCTGAAAGTGAGCCACAGCCATCAGAAGTGTCCCCTCCCCTGCCTCAGGGCTTCTCTCAGTCCTCCCCTCGTCTGCACAACCTCACCTCAGAGGCATCTCCGTCCAGCTGCAGCATGGCACACAGCCACTCCTGCGAGAGCCTGTGTGGCATGCGGCCCTCACCCTCCACCAATGACTTCAACTGGGACAGGAAACTGCCCGTCAGACCCAGTAGCACAGGTAATGATTCAACCAGTTGGCCAACTAGGTATTCTAAATTGTGTTGCAAAGAAAGAGTGATAAGAGAATAGCACCAAGATGAATGACAGTCCAGTAAACAGTTTAATGGTCATTATAAAAAATATGACCACTGAACAGTTGCAACTGACCAGTCAGAATGAAGTATTCCAGAGAGACGTGTGATAATTGAAACTAAACACAGGCAAAGTAATAGATTAGATTAATTATATTTTTGCTTTATCCTCTTCCAGGTGCCATGCACCGTAAAGCTAGCTTGCACAACGCTACTTCCGACTCAGATCTCATTCGGCTCCGGACCTCAGTTCAGGGCCCCCGAATATCACACAACTTAATGGATATGAAACCGGATCCCTTAATCGCTGTTCCACCTGGTGAGATTGACATCATTGCCCCGGGCAAACTAATAGACCGGACCCATAATGTGACCGAGAAAGTCACTCAGGTGAGGTTGAAACACTTTTCTGAGCAAAAAGCTTTGTGACTTATTAACAAAGTGTTTTTTTTTTTAATTGAGAAAGTGGCTCAATGACAGAACTGCTCCATAAATAAATTACACAGCGCTCTGTTTTTTTATGATTACAAAAAGGTTTAAAAGTTAAATTTTTTGGGTTGGTCTGTCTCAGTGGTCTAACAGCACTTGTCAATGTCAAAATTATTGAGATTGCCAATCAAGTCAAAGTAGGCTGGGTTTACTTTTTACAGAGGCAGAGCGCAAATTCCAACATGAAGTGTCAGTTTAACGTTGAAAGAGAGCGAAACAAGATGGAAGTTGCAAATCATTTAATATTAGCCAACTGTTTTACGATAGAAATGTTAAATGCCCGACAGCTATCCAGTGATTTAAACTACTCAACTTTTCTCAAATATGGCCATTTTAAGAGAGAGGATGAAAGTTACGTGTGTTAATTACATGCGTCTGTGTGTCTCTTTCTCTCTCTACAAACAATGACAGGAGCTGTACTGAGGGCTCCTGTAAGCATGAGTCAATAATGAGACCCAAGCCGCTTAGGCTGAGGACTACATAACATAACCATCTCCATTTACGAAGAGGATTAGGTTGAATTCAGCAGATAAAATCTTTGCCTGCAGGACAGGGACGTCGAAGTTATAAAAACTGTTGAAGGTAGACGGCGACGACCAGCCGGCGGCCGAATAAATATGACCAATAGAAATCCCCCTGGACCAAGCCCAGGAGGATGCCATTCCTCTGGTGGAGTGGGCCCTCACACCTATAGGACACTGCAAGCCCGAGGCGTAAGCCAGGGCTAAAGCATCCACTATCCAGCGAGATAGTCTTTGCTTCATACCCGGCAGCCCTTTAGAATGGCCTCCGAAGCATACAAAGAGCTGCTCTCAGTGCCTAAATAGGCCGGAGTGCACAATATACACTCTAAGAGCTCGGACCGGGCAGAGTGGATTAGGACCCTGCTCACCTTCGGAATTGGAGAACAATAGAAGGGTGATGACTTGTGCTCTGAATGGAGTGGAGAGCGATTTCAGCACATAGCCGTGTCTTGGTTTGAGGACAACTCTACAGTCGTTAGTAGGCCTGTCGCAATAATCAATATATCGACTTATCGCGCAATATATGTACATGACCTCAATCATTTTTGGTGACGCAATATATCGCCCATTATATTTACTTAAATTAATGTCACCATGTTTTGTACATTCCACTTGCGCTTGTGTCTTTTGCAGCTTCTTGTACATAACGTGGTGTAGTCATGAGGTGCTAGTTCAAATAAAAAAAATGTTTCTACAAAAAAAGTTTAATCTGCAGATATGGTCTTGTTTAGGGATCTGTGCCTTTGTGCATACGGACATCTGACTGCTGAGTAGTGATTGTGTTTTTCAGCAATACAGTGCACCCTTAATTTACAGGGAAAAGAAGGTCCGGGAAAAATCTCCATACAAGTTCTTTGTGCATTTTTCTTTTTTTCTACTTGTTACTTTGCACTTTTTGTTAGAAAATGTTTATTTACTATTTATTCAGGTTTTTTAAGGTATCTAATATTTTGATACTTAATTCCCATGATTTAAATATTCTTAAAAATTAAAAGTTTGTTGTCATTTGGAAGTGTGTAGGCCTTCTTGCATTATTATGCTGTTACATTATGATAATATATTCAGTGGCATAAAATGATCTTTAAAATGACAATAATATCGCTTATCGCAATTATTTCTGGGGCAATATATCGCACAACAAAAAGTTGTTATCGTGACAGGCCTAGTCATTAGGCCCAAACTCAAGACAGGAAGCACTGACTGACAGTGCTTGCAGGTCACCCACTTGCTTGACCGACGCTAAAGCCAGAAAGGAGGGCAGTCTTAAGCGACAAGTCGGCCGACTGGAGCGGCTCAAAGGGAGGGCCCCGTAGGGCCCTGAGGACTATAGATAAGTCCCAAGTTGGCACAGTATGAGGGCGAGGCAGATTCAAACTCCAATCTCCCCTCAGAAACTTAACGACTAGATCGTTTCTGCCGATTGACTGGCCAGCCATGAGAGAATGATTCACCGCAATGGCTGCCACATATACTTTGAGCGTGGAAGGGGTGCGCCCCTTATCCAGCAGCTCTTGTAGAAAAGTTAACACATAGGACACGAGAGGACGGGTCCTCGTTCCGCACTGCACACCAGACAGAGAAGACTGACCATTTACGGGCATAAAGACGTCTTGTAGATGGCGCTCTAGCCTCCAAAATGATATTAGTTACACTTGTGGGGAGCCGCAGAGACTCCCGTTGAGGGGCCAAACGTGAAGGCTCCACAGCTCTGGCCGGGGATGCCAAATCATGTCCTTCACTTGCGAGAGAAGGTCCATCCTCAGTAGTATTGGCCAAGGGGCTGCCAATAGCAGTTGAATCAACTTGGGGAACCACATCTGATTCCTCCAGAGTGGGGCCACAAAGAGGACTGAGCATCTGACTTCCCTGACCCGGGCCAGAGCATCTCACTGTTTCGAAAAGTAAATTGGGCAGTGAAAGTTGTCTTCTGATGCAAAGAGGTCCACCTCTGCCCTGCCGAAGACAGACCAGATCATTTGAACCATTTGGGGATGTAGTCTCCATTCTCCTGGAGCCACATTGCCCCTGGACAGCATGACTGCCCTTTTGTTCAGTCTGCCCAGCACATAAACTGCTCTCAGTGAAAGGAGTTTGCATTGTGCCCATAAAAGGAGTCGTCGAGCCAACCTGTAATGGGAGTGTGAACTGCAACCGCCTTGGTGATTGATAAAGGCTACCGCCGTCATGTTGTCCAAACAGATCAGGACGTGGTGCCCCCTTAAGGCCGGCAGGAAGGATTTCAGAGCTAGAAAAACCGCCATCTCGAGGCAGTTGATGTGTAAGCGTTGCTCCAGGTTTGACCAGGAGCCGAACGCCGGTCTGCCCTCGTACAGAGCTCCCCAACCCGAGATGGAGGCATCTGTTGTGACCACCTTCCTTCTGGAGGTCAGTCATAACAGGACGCCTGATTGAAACAGGCAAGGAGTTTTCCGAGGGGCAACAGCTCTGATGCAGCGGTGGGTTACCCTGAGATGAAAACTTCCCAGGCACCAAGCGTGGGACGGGACATGGGCTTTGAGCCAATACTGGAGGGGCCACACATGAAGCAGGCCCAGAGGAATCATAGAGGAATTGGGCAACATGAGGCTGAGCATCCTCTGGAAAGCCCTGAGGGGATGTCAATTCAAATCACCTTTATTTATATAGCGCTTTTAACCATACAGATTGTGTCAAAGCAGCTTTACAGTATGAATTCAGTGATGTCATCGTCCAGCTCAGTTCAGTTCAGTAAACTGAAGTGAAGGGATGTGAAGTCCCCACTTTGAATGACGCCGTTAGATGGACTACCTCAGTCCTGCTGAACAGGGTTTATTCAGCGGCTGGCCAGGTTGGCTCAACACTCGGGTTCTTTGCCGGAACACGCCCACTCTTCTGCATCTGAAGCCATCAATGACATAGAGTCATCCACGACAGCTTCTTCCTCAGACCCACCGAAGGAAATCAAGCCGCTCACAGCCAATGAGGGGCTCTGATCCTCACATGTGAAGTACATAGGCAAGTCGAGGCATTGCGGGGAGAGTGAAAACACATGGGACCTGTGCCGGCGTAAGTTGAGCCCGGTGTTTGAGCCCCTTGCTCCACTGTTTCTTCCTACTAGGGGAGGGAGGAAATGGGAGAGCAGGCCAGAGAGGACCGAAGGCGATCCACGAGTGGAGAAGAGCGAGACTCATGCTCTCGCAGTGAGAACATTCTGTCCTTGTGAGAGCAGCTTCTGTGTGGGTGCTGCCCAGACAGGCGATGCACTCACCGTGCCCATCTACATCGTGCAGGGAGCCACACTCATGAATCAGTATCAAAGCTATTTTATTAATAAAAGTGGTGGGGCAGCGTTGACGAGTGTCACCTAAGTTTTTTTTTTAAATAAATTAATTTTATTCAGCAAGGATGCTTTAAAAGTAACATGGTTTCCAAAAAAAATAAGCAGCACAACTGTTTTCAACATTGATAATGATAATAAGCAAATGAGCATATTAGAATGATTTCTGAAGCATCGTGAGACTGGAGTAATAGCTACTGAAAATTCAGCTTTGCCATCACAGGACATTTTAAGATATATTAACAGTTATTTTAAATTGTCATAATATTTCCTAATAATACTGTTTTACTGCATTTTTTCAAATAAATGCAGTCTTGGTGAGATTTCTTTCAAAAACAAAAAATCTTACAGACTCCAAACTTTTGAATATATTTATGCACATATGTTATAACCACTTCTGTCAATTGGCCAAGCTGACACGCTTATCTATAAGAATGAAAAATATCAGCTGCTTAATTAGTCTGACTGATATATATAGGCCTGTCACTACATAGGACATTGTTATTTCACCCTCCCTGGTATGATGTAGTAGATGATACAGTGGTTTTTAGCATTTTTTTATCCAGTTGGTGGCAGTAAAAACAGCTTTTATGTAATACATATGCATGTAGCACTGTACATTTAGGTGGGATTTTAAACTGTGGTCTCAGGGCATTCTCCAAAGCAATGTAAAAAACTGTAGTTAATGCACATGCAATTAATTCGTACAGTCTTTTATAACTATCCCATAGGAATATCTCATACCTGGGGTTAATGCAGCATCCTGTTCAGGGTCATATAGATGACAGCTGTTTATGGCTGGCTGAACAGACACTTGCCCTCCATTCCTGTTTGAAGGGCATTCCAACAGAGCGCAGAGGGAATGAGGTCATGCCAAAGGTCACATGGCACATGCCGCGAGGTGTCCTTCCATTTTCAGCTGAGTTATCTGGATGCCCCATGACAGAAAGATCTATATCTCCACAAATGAGTAGCCATTAGCACTCATGTGGATGTGTGTTCAGAGATGCTTAGTCATTTGTCACTGTTTAGACCAGTGCCCTGTTGACATAATCTGTAGT